CACACACACACACACACACACACACACACACACACACACACACACACGGGAAGAGAAGCATAAAGATCTCAGAGTAATGTTTCTCTAAAGCTGTGAACCTGGGACAACTTAACAGAGAATGAATGGGATGAAGGAGAAAGGAAGGGAAAAGGGGAAGGCAAGAGAAAGACCAAACACACACATACTTCACATATTTGCAATGCCAAAGATGTCCACTTAAGCCACAGTGTGCAACAATGTAATACCAGACTACAGTAGTGGTGGCCCACATCTTATCGCAATCTAAACAAAAGGAGTTGTAGCCGAGCCAGAAGTCAAACATGTGTGGACAAAAAGGACATAACACACATTGTGTGTGCATGTGTGTGTATAAAAAGACAGATTGACAGCTATGAACCGAGGATTTTCCTCTGAGATTTGGCCCGTTGAAGCAGTGTTAATCCAACAACAACACACACACACACACACACACACAACCACAGTAGGTTAAGCCAACCGCTGAAACATCAGCCAAGCTATTTGGACGAAGTTAAAGAGCTCGGACACACATCTAACGGCCGTTGAGGAAATGATAAAGCAAACAAATGCAACGGTCCCGATCCTGTAAAAAATCCAAACTCCCCTCTCTCCGAAACATGTAAATGCTCTCAGATACAGTAAACTCACGTAGACCCCGGCTCTGTTGAACACTGGCTGTACTGTATCCGCAGACAGCTCCGTCTTGTCCCGACACACACACTGCTTCTGTCTCTGAGCCCACGTTAACACGAGACCACCCTTTCTGTGGGCCTCCTGCCTTTCCCTTCTCGGCAGGCACACTCATCGTTTGACTCACGCGCAAATAGGAAAGACCCCTCTTTCATATAAACATACCTATTGTGTGGCTCACACCGACTTCAATGGGGCGGCGAGTGAACAATGAGCAATACCCTGCTGTCAAATGCGTCTTGGAGAGTGGAGTGGCAGAGAGTGCTGTTGGGGTTTAGCTAACATTTAAATGTCAAAGGGCCACAGACAACACATTTAACAATATAGTACCGAAGAGAAGACTCATCTGAGAGGATTCTTGTTGCAGGGCACCGAGCTGCAGGTGGCGAGATACCGATGGAGAGAGGGAAACTTGTATGGACTTATGGACCTGATGATCAAAATAGCGAGGTGGTAGGTGACCATATTTTTAAAAACACGTATGCGCTTACAGATCTACTGTTATTATTAGGGATGCCCCGAGAAACTTGGTTCTAAATGGGAATTAGTGAAAAACAGGAGTATTAATAAGGTCCGGAGTTAACGGTTCAGTGTGAGGTCTAGTGAGTCTTTATGTATTGCTGCTTAAGAACGACTATTTGTTTACATAAAAGCAATGCTGATTCTTTGTCTGGTTTCTCACAAAATAATCAAAAAGAACCGATAAGAGAACTGGCACGATACCCATCCCTGTTTATCCCAGGGGTGCCATTGTATAATGCTATCTGTCCGTCTTAATGTGATCTTTTATATCTCCACCGTGCGTCACAGGAAATAGTACTCATGCAGTGTGTGCAGAACGCAGCATTTTCGTTCCCCGTTACGTTACGAAAGAAGAAGTGACCTCCTGGAGTTAAAAGTCTTTCACTTCCGCATGACAAACTAACCGTCAGTGTGCAAACCGGGACGTCTGGTCGCCGTAAATACACACTAAGGACACACTAAACTTCAGGGGATAATAAAAGGTTTTCGTGTATTTGTTATCTCGGAGATAACCACTTAGTCAAACAAGGTGATCGGTACGGGGACGTCGGTGAAGCCTGACTTTCTGCAGCTGGCGCTCCTTTCTTTGCTTGTTCGGCCACGATGGTCAGCAGTGATCTGCCAAGTTTGCGTTCTTTATCAAAGAGGTGGAGGTAGAATGAGAATCTGAAATGGACTCTTAACCGTCTCTAACATTAAAAGAAGCATCGCACTCCTATAACATTTTCGGACTCTAAATGGACTGTTTTTTTAGGTAAAATGTGTAAGAACATG